GGCAGCCCTAGGGACCCCGATGGCGCCATGCAGGGGCAGCTTCTGTGTCCCCATCCTCTGTCCCCACGGCGGTGCCCCCATAACGCTGCGCACACCCCATGGGCGCACCGACCCTTCCCCACCCCCACCCCTCCAGGACGCAGAGTTGAGGCCCCACATCCCGCCCCCCCCGTGGTCGTGGGACCCCCCCCCCCCCCAGCTCCCCTCGCACTGCGGCGGAGGGTTCCGAGCGCCTTCTGCCATTTCCTTTTCTGCAGCGACTCGGGGAAATGGGGAGAGGAAACGCGGTGGGAAGCAGCGGGGCCGGGGCTGCGCGCACGGTGTGCGGCACGGGGACGGCGGGGCGGTTCGCTGTGGGGGCCCCGCGGGGGTCTTAGGGCCGCTGTGGGGTCGGGAAGGGGGACCTGAATTCCCCGCTGGGGGTTTTGTGGGAGCCCCCTCGTCCCACTGTCACTGCTGCGACGCCCCTGGCACCGAGCGCTGCGTGCCGCCACCGGGCAGCGCCAGCGGGACCCACCTATGAGCCCCCTCCGTGCTCCCCCCAATCAGCCCCCTCCACACTGTTTGTCCCCACGGCTCACGGCGCTGTCCCCGCACTGAGCGCAGGGCCGTGGTGGCTGCGGGGCGCACAGAGCAGCGATCCCCACTCCCACCCGTGTCCCCCTCCTCAAACCCCCCCAGCTCCGGCTTAGAGACAAACCCACCTTCCCCACGTCCCAGCCGCGCCTCCGAGCCGTGACACCCCCCCCCCCCCCGTGCCACCCTCACCCCCCGTCCCTTCACCCCCTCAGCGCTCACCCACCTCTATGCCGGGGGTCCCCGGGCGCAGCCGCCACTCAGCGCTGCCCTCCGCCTGCAGCCCCGCGCCCGCCGCCCCGCGCTGCCTCCCCCCGCGCCCCTCTCCCTCCCGGCCCCCCCGGCAGCGCTTCAAATTGCAATTCCAGCTGCAGATGTGGGAGCGGGGAGGAGGCAGGGCCGGGCCGGGACGGAAACCTCCGCTCGGCCTCCCCACGCTGGGTGGGAGCACGGCGGCCGTGCAGCGGGGGCACCCGGAGCCCTTTCCAACCCCCCCCAGCGGCTGTTCCGCGCAGCTTTTCCCCCAGGTAAAATCCCCTTCTGTGCTCTGACCCCCCCGGCCCCACCGGCAGAGCCGAAATGCACCGACAGAGCCCCCAGATGGAGACCCCAGCGTGCGCCATCGGTGTCACCGTGCTCTGTGCCACCCTCGGGCACCGCGTTCTCACCGCTCGTGTGGGCACAGCGCGTGGCTCGGGGTCCTCGAGGGGCTCCCAGCGTGTCCCCAACTGTGTCACAGTGCTGCTCACAGGGTGCACGTGGCACAATCCTCGTGCTGCTCACGGCACGCACATGGCACACACCTTGTGCTGCTCACATGGCACACTCCTCGTGCTGCTCGTGGGGCACACGTGGCTCAGGTCTTGTGCTGATTGTGGGGTGCGTGGCACACCCCTTGTGCTGCTCACAGGGTGCACATGGCACACACTTCGTGCTGCTCACTGGGTGCTCATGGCATCCTTCTTGTGCTGCACCTTGGTGCACGTGGCACTTTCCTCATGTTGCTCGTGGGGCTCACGTGGCTCAGGTCTTGTGCTGATTGTGGGGTGCACGAGGCACACCCCTTGTGCTGCTCACAGGGTGCACGTGGCACACACACTGTGTTGTTCACACAGAGCTCCTGGCACATCCCTTGTGCTGCACATTGGGTGCACGTGGCACACTCCTCGTGCTGCTCGTGGGGCGCACGTGGCTCAGGTCTTGTGCTGATCGTGGGGTGCGTGTGGCACACACCTTGTGCTGCTCACTGTGCTCATGGCACACACCTTGTGCTGCTCACGTGGCACACAGCTCATGTTGCTCAAGGTGTGCGCATGGCTCAGGTCTTGTGCTGATTGTGGGATGCACGAGGCACACTTCTTGTGCTGCACCTTGGTGCACGTGGCACACTCCTCATGTTGCTCAAGGGGTGCACATGGCTCTGGTCTTGTGCTGATTGTGGGGTGCGTGTGGCACACTCCTTGTGCTGCTCACAGTGCTCATGGCACACTCGTGCTGCTCACGTGGCACGCACCTCATGTTGCTCAAGGGGTGCACGTGGCACACACACTGTGTTGTTCACACAGTGCTCCTGGCACACCCCTTGTGCTGCACATTGGGTACTTGTGGCACACTCCTCATGTTGCTCAAGGGGTGCACATGGCTCTGGTCTTGTGCTGATTGTGGGGTGTGTGTGGCACACTCCTTGTGCCGCTCAGTGGGCTCACACTGCACACTCCTCGTGTTGCTCATGGGGTACATGTGGCACACTCCTCCTGCTGCTCATTCAATGCACATGGCACAGCCCTCGTGCTGCTCACATGGCACAGCCCTCGTGCAGCTCACAGGGTGCATGTGGCACACCCCTGGTGCTGCTCATTGGGCGCATGTGGCACACTCCTCGTGCTGCTCACATGGCAGCCTCTTTGTGCTGCTCGCCGGTTGCACGCTGCACCCTCCACCCCTCGTGCTGCTCGTGCAGTGCTGCACGCACACACCCCGTGCCGCACGGTGCGCACGCTGCATCCCATTTCTTGCAGCCAAAGCAGCGCCCTGCTGCTGGTGCGCGGCCGTGCCCCATAGCAGCGCGCTCTCGGCTCCGCAGAGCCATCAGGAGGGGAAGAGGAGGGGAAGAGATGGGCGGAGGGTGACGCCCGCGTGCGCTTCCCCGGGGCTGAGGCAGCGCTTTCCGGCCATTGAGGCGGGCGCAGGAAGCGCAGGAGGAGCGCAGCGCGGTGCGGTCCCCACTCGGGGCGGGGGGGACCCCCAGATGGGGGGGGGGGTCCCCAAACCCGGACGGACGGCGTCTCTCCTTTCCCATCACCCCCTGAGAGCTTCCCACGGGAACGGCGGGGCGATGGAAAGCACCGGAACGGAGGGGGGCATCCGCGGTCACATCGCACATGGTGGGGGTGGGCGGGCGGCCAGAGCCGCGCCTCGGGGATGGGGATGAGGTGTGGGGATGGGGATGGGGTGTGGGGCGGCCCCACAGCTGTGGGATCGCTGTGCTGCACTGCTGGGATGCTGCTGGCGTTGCCACGGGCGGCCCTGCAGCTTTGCAGCCCCGTGCAGAGCTGAAGTGCGGCTGTGTGCAGCCCGGAGAGCAGCGCGCCCTTTTCCTGCAGAACACACTCACACACACACACACTCACACACGCACACGCGTGTACATGCCTGCCAGAGTACAGACACATGCGTGCTTGCAGCCATGCAGACATACAGACACGTGTGCACAGCCATGCATGCACACACAGCCACGCACGGCCATGCAGAGCCATGCACACACACCCAGCCATGCAGTCAGGCACAGCCATGCACACGCACACAAAGCCATGCACACACACCGCTGTGCACTGCCATGCACAGCCATGCACACACAGCCATGCACACACAGCCATGCACAGCCATGCACACGCAGCCATGCACACGCAGCCGTGCACAGCCACGCACCCCCTCAGCCATGCAGCAGCTCTCCCCACTTCCCCAGGAAGCCGCCAGCTGCTCTCAGCCCTTTCATCCCCCCGGCCCGCATTGTCCTACGGCTGATGCCAGCTTCCTTCCTGGCCTCTCCTCTTCCCCTGCCTGGGCTGGGTGGTTCCTGTGTCCCCACGCTGGGTCACCAGCACAGCCCTCAGCCCGTAGAGCCGTGGCCCTTTGCAGCCCTTCTGTTTTTGCGCTCACAGCGTTTTTGCATCGCGCAGGGCAGGATCCCAGCGCTGCTCCCCACTCTCCTCCTCCCACTTTGGGGTTTTCCAGCACCTTTTTTGTGACCGAGAGCTGCTGTGGGACCACGGGGAGAGAGTGGCTAAAAATACAGTGAGCCCAGATCCTTTCTGCTGTGTTGCAATGGGGCTGAGGGCAGAATGCAGAGCAGCTCCTGTGGTCGCTGTGGGTCAGCGCCTTGGGACTGGGGGGGTTCTGGGGGGGTCCCCTGCTCCCCTGAATCCTTGGTGGTGCCACCATGGCAACGTCTCTGTGCCATTCCAAATGTCCATGGCCCCATCCCTGAGCTCCGTCTGTGGCCCCATCCCTGAACCTCATTCATGAGCTCTGTCCCTAAAACCCATCCATGAACCCAATTGCTGAACCTCATCTCCAATCCCCATCTCTGGTCCCCATCTCTGATCCCCATGTCCAGTCTCCATTCCTGAGCCCCATCCATGAGCCTAACCCTAACCCTAACCCTAACCCTAACCCTAACCCTATCCCTGGGACCCATCCATAAACCCATCCATGACCCCCATCTCTGATCCTCATCTCCGATCCCCACCTCTGAACCCCATCCATGGACCCCATTCCTGAGCCCCATCTGTGAGCCCTATCCCTGGAACCATCCGTGAACCTATCTGTGATCCCCATCTGTGACCCCCACCTGTGACCCTCATCTCTGATCCCCATCTTTGATCTCTATCTCTGATCCCCATCTTTGATCTCCATCTGTGATCCCCATCCATGATCCCCATTTCTGATCCCCATCTCTGACCCCTGTCCATGATCCCCACCTCTGATCCCCATCCATGATCTCCATCTCTGAACCCCCTTCATGACCCCCACCTCTCAGCCCCATCCCTGACCCCCACCCTCAATCCCCACCTCTCAGCCCCATCCGCGCTCCTCATCCATGAGCTGAACCTAAACGGGATCGCTTTGCCCCCCCCGGTGCTGCCCAGCCCCAGACAGCCAGCAGCACGCCGTGCCCCCCCTCTGCCCACCCCGTCCTGATGTTTCAGATCCTGATAAGCGTGAGCACAGAACAGCGAGGAGCAAAATGCAGAACGATGTTGGATGGACACAGGGGAGCTGTGAGGCGTGCGTGTATCCGCAGCCTCGTCCCGGCCATCCCATAATGAGATGCAGACGAGAGCCGTGTTGGGGACATTGAGCTGACAGCGGCCGTCCCAGCGCGGCTCCGCAGGGCCGGGCAGCACGGAGCTGATGGGAGCACGTTGTGCTCTGCCTGCAGCTCAGAGCAGCCCTCAGGTCCTGGCATCACATAGGGGCCGGGGGGCTTAAAAATCCCCCACTGTGCCAATTTCTCTTCATTGGACGGGTTGGGGTGGAAGGGACCTTAAAATTCTGGGAAGCACTGAGTGGTTGTGTTGTGTTGTGTTGTGTTGTGTTGGGTTGTGTTGGGTTGTGTTGGGTTGTGTTGGGTTGGGTTGTGTTAAAGATCACAGAACTGCAGAATGGTTGGGATGGGTTGGGTTGGGTAGGCTGGGTTGGAAGCATCTTTTAAGACCACAGAATGGTTGGGTTGAAGGGGTCCTTAAAGACCACAGAACTGCAGAATGGTTGAGTTGGGTTGGGTGGGTTGGAAGGGTCCTTAAAGATCACAGAACCACAGAATGGTTGGGTTGGAAGGGTCCTTAAAGACCATAGAACTGCAGAGTGGTTGGGATGGGTTGGGTTGGGTGGGTTGGAAGGGTCCTTAAAGATCATCGAACCATGGAATTGGTGAGTTGGGTTGGTTAAAAACCACCGGACCACAGAATGCTTGGATTGGGTTAAGTTGGTTGGGTTGAGTTATTCAGGTTGGGTTGATTGGAATGGGTTGGGTTGATTTGTTTGGTTTGGGTTGGTTGGGATGGGTTTGTTGGGTTTGTTGGGTTGGTTGGGTTGGTTGGGATGGGATGGGTTGGGTTTGTTGGGTTGGTTGGTTGGGTTTGTTGGGTTGGTTGGGTTGGTTAGTTGGTTGGGTCCTTAAAGACAACCTCATCAATTCTCCGAGCAAACATTCAGCTTTTCAAGTCAGCACTTTTGGTGGAAACTCCCTTTTCTCCGGCAAAAAGCGGAAAGAATCCCCAAATCACAAAGCTGTTCTCAGAGCCTCTCATGGGAACGGGGATCCTCCCCCATGCGAGGCTCTCTGGGGTCCCCACGTTCCCAGGGTGGGGGCACGGCAGGCGCTGGGCCTCACCCCACATCTCACCCCACATCTCAGCCCCACATCTCAGCCCCCATTGAGCCCCGCTGTGAGCTGCAGGCAGCGCTCGGGCCGCGCCGTATCGCATTGCACGGAACCTCCGTGCTCACACAAATAATTTAAGTCCCACTTAATGGTGCTGCCGGGATCAGCGGCCAAAAGGCGCAGAGCAGATCCGTGCACTGCTAATCGATTTCGCACTTGAGAGCCCCGTCTGCTTCTACACGTGTGGAGCTTCAAGCCTCCCTCAGACACCAAATCCCAAATGGGATTTCCTGAGATGAGGGCAGCTCAACCCGGAGCTGCTCCACAGCCTCCACTGTGGCGCCCACAGCCCCACCACCCCACATCCCCACCCTCACGGCCCCACATCCCCACATCCCCACCGTCCCCATGTGCCCACCAGCCCACCGTCCCCACCCCCTCCAC